GTCCGTAGACTTACTGCTGTCCTACTCGGGGACAACAATGATCCTAAATGCTGGATTTTTCATTAGTAATAATGAGTATAAATAATCATGATTTTAGTCTTATTTAAACATTTTGATATTTTACAATACAACATCCCAAAGTTAGCGAAAACACCAAAATAAAAATTTCATTTAGTAGAAATTATCAACTGTCAAAACGCAACTTTTTGATTTTCCACATAATTATGTTACACATGGAGCTAAAAAAATACAATTAAACACCGCAAAAAACTAATACATCTTTGATCTTCACATTGTTTTTTTTTGCACTTACAAGTGATTGGTAAAGCTTATCCAGAAATTACAAACTCATGTTTTTATCTTTAAAATATAATCTCAGACTAATAGCTTTCTTTTGAAATAAAAAATAATTCAAAAACTTTAAAAGTATTTAGATAACATGAGGAGTTGACTTGTACTGATGACAAAAACTTGTAATAAGTTGGAAATTAAAAATTCACTTTATTGTAGTGTGTATGAAATATTGATTTTTACACTAGAGCTTTTGATGTTATTGTATCTAATAAACAAGATTATTTTAATGAACATTAAACTATACTTATTAAAGATTACAAATCTTAAGTAAAAAAAAAAAGTCAAGAAGCACTGCCATTAACTATTCTTCTTTATTGATTATTTACTTGAGACTCCAACAAAATGAGACTTACTACTACACTGCAAGTATCAGAAGAAACAAATTAAGGCTGCAATAAGTTACCTACAAATGTACACAGTGCCTGATGAGAAATGATTTGGAGTCCATCATGTAACAAGAATATTTCACATTAATCAAATTTCTCAAGGAAGAGAATATTTGAAGAAGTCTAATAACCAGATGTTACTTGAACTCAAACTGACTGATTAACTCAAGTCCTACATGAACTTATCATATTTACTTTACAAAAGATGCAAACTATTTTAAATAACACACACTGATTTTATTTATAAGCATTAGTAATTCAATACACATAACAACAGTTTTTTTCTATTAAGGTAAATAAAATATCTCCAGAGTTAATCTTTATTAACTCAATATTTCGCTTTTACAGCTTCGTCAGGAGCTATTGATATCCTACAAGTTCACTAATCCAGTTGAATCTAAATTGGAACACTGTCATCAGTATGTATATAGGAGCAACTTGCTGGCCCGTACATGACAGAATATCTGAACATGTGTATAACATCCAGAACTCCAATACTAACAATGCTATTGCAGAACATTATGGAAAAGAACATGGGATACACCAAGCAGATAACAACTTATCACATGTCAAGATTTTATTTAAATGCCATAGTTTTCTGGAATAAGAAATTAAATATTCCATTTTAATCAAGAAAAACACACACACCCTAAAATGAACAAATATAAAGGTTAGCCTTTAGTAAAGAGACATTAAGAGCATTCTTGAGATCTTAATATCCTGAACTTTGACAAAATCTCTATACACACTCATAACAATTAAAAAATATTTTCAGACATTGTTTTGTGTACGTATTGAGATAATAGGATGAAATAATACTTGCATATACAAGTACGAAGAGATGTTTTATATGTACATAATGTATCCTATTTTAAGTCCTATAGCTTATAGTTTACCTGTTGGTTTACACATATTACGTACTTAACATTCTTGGTTTAGTTTGTTTCAACAATTTAACTTCAAGAATGTTTGATATTATTTTAATATGATCCGAACTTTCCAAACACATATATCGATGTTCACTTTAGATTCAACTGGATTAGTGAACTTAAAGGATATTGATAGCTCCTGATGAAGCTCTAAAATACAAATTATTGGTCTAATAAAGTTAAATTCTGGAGATATAGGTCATTTTATTTACCTTAATAGAAACGTCTCGTAATAAACTCCAGTTTGCATTAAACAAAGTTAAGAATAATAAGAAAAGTTTTTTATTTTTTCAAACATAGTCACCCAGTGTGCTACTTTTATTCAGGAATTTTTGAAAAATGTCAATTACACACAAACTTTCAATTGAAATAATACTAAATACATACTATGCCATGTAGAAACTTGAATTCTTTAACTGCTGTACGAGATCCTAAACATTTTAATCATTATATAAATTATTACATTTGTTTTAAGATGAAAAAAAGACTGGCAGTTATTTCAATTTGCTTACATTTCTCACTAAAAATTTAAAATAGAAGACCTATGAATCCCATGTTAAAAATATGAGGAGTTAATGTTTCCAATGTTTTACTACATGCATTGAATTTCACTTTCACTCAAAAAATAACAATAAAATGTTGAAAGAAGTTTCAAGATTTGAACCATGGTTGAAGTCGTGTGGTTTAAATCACTTGTTTTATTTAGCTATACATTTTAATCAATGTTAACCAAAGCTAGTTATTACTTTTAGGACTCCAACTGCGACCAATTATCAACAACTCAGTACAATTTGATCAATTTATTCCAATACTTCAGTCACAACATATTTAGTTATAGATCTATATTACACATATTATTTACATCAAAACAAGAATTATTTTCTACAATAATGTTACATTCTCCATAAACTTAACAATCACAATATACAATATCAATAAAATACTATGATCTAACAAAATTCTTATACTAATTTTATCTTAAGATAAACAGACCAGTTGTTAAAAATAAAGTACAGAAGGTCTCAGATGTTTGTAATTTGAAATTCGTTATTAATCTAATGCTAAACTTTGTCAAAAAAATATCTGAAGTACAGTTAAATTAGTTAGAAAATACCTAACTCAATGAACAATGGCTTTATACTGATTGCTTTTCTGAAGTATTGTGTCATTTTTTTTTGTAGTTTTAAAATTATCAGAAATATAGTTAATTAATACCACATGCTTCAGTTTTTTATCTACTCATTTATATATAACTTAATGTACGTTAAGTTAAAAACTAATACATAACCAAATATGGAAATAAAAACAAATCTACCTCAGAAAACTATTATACCTATTACACAAATGTATGCCAAATGTTTAGATGCTAAAGTTATAATTGTTTTATGTAAGAGGTGAACACTATTTAAGATCCGAGTGTAGTTATATTTGTTAAACAATACGTGTTAAACTTGTGCCCGAGATATGAACACAGTAATATTTTATATTTAGAATATATCATCAAACACATGTTTTTGGTTAAAGAGGAACTTCTAACCATTTTGAAAATTGAAGATGTAATGGTAGCATGCTCATGTTTTGGTTATGAGTGTGTTTTCTTAGGTTAATAGCATAATGGTAGACATGATATAATATTAATTTAGACAGTGTTTGGTAATACTACTGGCGAGTGCATACAATCTTGGAACAGCCAAATGATGTTATTCACAATTCATCAGACTACCATTTATCTGGTGATGAAAAACACATCTTAGCCAGAAGAGTTACAATTTTCTATGCACACTAAGAAAGTTAGTGCACAATAATATTTTCTAGGTTTTGTTACATTTTTGTTTTTTAATTGTGTAAGTGCAAATTTGGAGCAGTACTTTTGAAAACGTTAAAACTCAAGTGTCTGGTTTTGTTCACAGGATGTTACTATATCTTAGACCTGGCTAAAAGAACAATAATTTAAGCAAGGATGACAACTAGTTTTGAAAGTTTTAAAAACTGTAAGGACAATGAAGTCACTGAAACATTTAAAGGTAAGTGTATTATATCAACAAAGTGGTATAGATTTTATGTATCGGTTTATACAAATTAGGAATGATCTAATGGCACTCAGAGAAGTTAAACTTACAAGATGTATTTTAAAGTTAAATAAAAGATGACATAGTAATGGAAGAAATTTACCCAACTGGCTCACAGTGTGGGGTTTTATATAGACTTCCTAAAACTTACAAGCTTGGATGTGGAGTCAGACCAACTGTCTCTAGTGTATGCACTTATGATCAGCCATTAGCAAGATTTTTTCCAGTTTTTGAAATGTTGCACATAATGAATATTCTGTTAAGGATACTTTTGAATTTTTTAATAGCTTCCAATAGCACTGACCCTTAAAACTGGACAAACTTACATGCTGAGGATACACTGTTAAACACTCCTTATAACCTTCATGTTGAGCACAAAACAAAAGTGTGATGTCCCAATCTCTGAAAGTTCACTTGTAGTCATATACATAATTAATGCAGCATGGACAAAGAAATATATAACATATACTGTTTTAACACCATAACTGTACTTTGGAATGATAGAAACATGTAATATTGATATACATGCTCTTCATGAACATTCTCATAGCTTGAATTAAAACTTCTGTAACATTAACAAGCTATGGGCAATTAATTTTAATTAATGCCTTCGTTAGTGGTAATTAGACTCATAACAAGATTGAGCACACTTCTTGATATTACACTCTTCCATTGCTTGATTTTTTTTAATTCAAACGTCTTTACCAATTGTTCTGTTGATTTTCAACAGTAAATTTCATAATGGAATGTTCACAATTAAAAACTGGAGAAATGTGATAACTGACTCAACATTGTCAAAAACCACATAAGTTTCATCAACATATTTCCTTTGATACACAGTGTTAAAATGTTCTCAAACGTGAGCAAGGTTGTCGCCCATAGCAAGTACATCAGTGTGTACATCATGTGATTGTTCTGTCACAAAATGTAAAACTGTTTTATTAATATCTTTAGTTACACATCTGTAAAATTTCATTCTTAACAAACATAAGGTTAAAAGAAAGATCGATGAGGTATAATTGTAAATAATGACTCTATCATGACTAGCACAATGAATATCATTATTAATATGTGTCTGCTTTAAGGTAGCACTGACCCTTAAAGAGCACACCCAATATTTCAGTAGTCACACTTTTCAAATTTAGCTTAACCTCTTTTCTACATAAATAACTCATTTTTGTCTTAAAACTGTTACTAATTAATTTGTAGTAAGTTTTGGTTTGTTTTCATTCCATTTCCACTTCACCATTAAAGCCAATATCAACATAAAATGGACTTAATTTCAATTTAAAAATTTCACTCTTTCAGTTCTTAAAAATATCTGGTTAAAATCCCACTAAACAGAGCTTTACGATATCAAGAAACTGAAACCTTTTTTTGAAGCATGAAAACATTAAACAAATGATTAGCAGAAATACTTTTAAACTACATTGTAAAACATTATAGTTCAGTAAATATTTATTCAGTCATCTTGTGAACCAGCTGAAATCTCCCTGTGGTTTGTTTGTTTGTTTTAGAGTAAAAACCACATTGGGCTATTCACAGGGAATCAAGTCCTCAATTTTAGAAATGTAAGTCCATAGACTTACCACTGTACCACCAGGGGACACTTCCTGTGGACTGGTGGATAGAAACCATTGGAATAATCCACACCCATACTGAAAAATGCAATATTCCATTTATTGTTATGTGTTCCAAAGAAAACTGCTACTTTAGATATACCCTACTTAAGCACTATTTTATACATGATTTGAAAAAAAACTAAGAACATTACCTAACAGTTATGTCTTCAGGTTCAGTTCAAATGTGTCTTTGAAATAGGCTAGGTTAGAAGAACTTTTCAACTTTAACCCATTGATTGTGGCTGCTCTAAACACATGTAGAATTTTTGCAAACTGTACACCATATACATCACACTCGCATTCAACTACCGAAGACAGATCAGCCCCTATATGATGAATCAGCAGTCAATGGGTTAAAGACAAATAATATTCATTAAATATCTTGTTAGTGGCATTTCAGTTCACATACTCGATGTACAACTGGAAATATGTTGGATCAACTACTAGAAGGCTCTGCAGATCAATAAAAGAACACTGTAATATTAAAATGTACAACATAAGTAGTATTACCAACCACTGTATAAACAAGTGCAATGTTTGCTTACTTCCAATTGTTTTAAACCATTCACCATTCCTGGGAAGAATATTACATTAGAATTCTAAATTTCTTGCCACTAACCTAAGAAAACTGGCTCATAACCAGAAGATGAGTATGACACCATAACATTTTCAATTGTGAAAATAACAGAACATGAACTTTGATCATTGTACATGAGGTGGACTTAAAACTTGGTTAACTTTTCAAACTTAGTGCCATATATTTTGAAAATTATGGGTAAAAAAAACAAACTTATTTGATGGAAAATTATGTATTGAATTTTATGTTCTACCTTCTTTGTGGATTAAGTACAAATAATGCACATGACTAGATTAACTCAAGATGGTCACTGATAAAACTATGGATTTTCTTGTCTCAAAGTGTTCATCCAAAACAAGAGAGACTTTGAAAATAAGTTTAAAAAGACTAAAATACAAGAAGACACATTTTTGGTAAAAACAAACTACACTGAAAATACTATTTGAAAATGCTTGTTCAATGAAGAACATATACCAACAACTCTAATAAAAATTCATATCATCTAAGAAGAAGAAAAGTGTAACATTCAGTGGCATTAAATTTTACACTAGACATATGTATATATCAATTATGGTACGAAATAACACAGCATCTCAACAACAATCCACAGACTTTTCTAAAATTCTAAATCTGTAAGACAGATTTTAAATTTCAGTCATAACAGTTATGAACAGTTTTCTTTCTAATACAATATTTCACAGTAGATTTTCACGTGTTTCTGTCCTTACTCACTGGTAAGTAACTATCAGACTAACAGTAAAGTTGGAGAACATTTTAACCTTGATATATATATACAATTTTCTGTAGTTTAGGAGATTCAGTTTACCTTTACCACTAAATTAACACATCTCTATTGTTACTCAATATTGTTGAAGTTGATTTCTACACTAATTGCTTGCCAACTCATCTCTCTAAACATCTAATTAAAACACTCCACAGGTTATTCGCCATTGTAAACAGACTTAGAAACATCCTGGACCAAAGTTAGTTCAAATGATTTTAAAAGTTTCCTTAAAATCAATGCCAGAGTTCAATAAAACAGGGGAAAAAAACTCTACACATTAACCTCCTGTATATCACATTAAGAATTATCAGTACAAAAATAGAGAAATGTGATAATCATTAAAACAACACCACCCAGCCCTGAGTTGTTTGTAAATACCAACTTATCACAAACATGAACACAATGAAAAATAATGTCCCAAAGGACTAAAAATACAGGACTAGAACTACCTGTTATTTGTACTGCATTTCAGCATCAGTGTTAGAAGTAAACATACACATTTAAAAAGTTAAGTATTCAATATCTTAAGTACTAAGAAGCATTTTTAGATAATGACTTAGAAATATTTCATGTTAGACCATTTGCCCTTGAGGTACGAGCCTAGACAACATCCTGATATAGTTATGATAGTACTAAAGTCATGAGGGCTCACATAGGTCCACAGTTCTCACATCATACCCTCATCTGTTGTAAAGATGTTCCTTACAAATCCTTTCTGTCATTTCTGCCTGTTAATAATAAACAAACAAATTTAATAATCAAGTGAGAAGCTTTGCACATGACTAAACCCTAAACATAACTCTAATCATCTATACTTAAAAGGTAATATGGAATTATTCAGATAGAAACTTTGTATAAAATGCAAAGGGATCCATTTCACTTCTGTGGAGATGTATACATCTTTACATAAAAGAAAATAACTTCACTCAAACATACCTGTATGACACACATCTTACAACAGAGATTCATATCATGGGGACTTATTAAATATTCAAATGAAGTAAAATAAAACTTATTCAAGCAGGAAAAGAAAGCATCACGAGAGTGCAATGAAATATTGAAGTAACTGAAGTTTCAGGCTTCCCAAGCCCTTTACAGATTCACATTCAGAAATATGCTCATACATCGTTTCATTGTTTTTTTATACTTGTAAAAAATCACTATTGAAAAGGAATCTTGTTCCTAACCAGAATATATTAAGGCAAAAGAATACTTAGTCACTTGATTTGAAGTTTTATCTAACGTCATAATCTAAAATATATTTTTATTGCCATTTTGACCATCACCTTCATCAAGGTGGTTTGTTTGTCATAGACCATATGTAAAAAATTTGGTTAGGAACAAAGTTAAACAATAAAAATGTTAATTTCTGTTATCTATGGTACAAAATAAATGTTTTCAAACTGAGTACTTATGTCTTATAATTTCAATATGATTATGGAAGACAACAAAAAAAGTTAAATTACATTTTTTATACTTCTGCCCTGGGTTAGAGAATCATTGTTTAAAAAGATCATGGAAATTCACTGTAGTATTTTATCTCATACTGAAGCCTAAGCACCCAGTAAGTTTAACATTTACGACACTTAATGCACCTTCCTTTGATTCATTAGTAGCATCTCCAATAAATGTGTTACAGATGTGCACCTAATTCTAAAATGGATTTCCTTGAAATACTTTAAACATTTATACACTTGAACTTACTTTTAGGGTTGTCTAATATTAAACATATTTAGACGCATAAGTATTTGTGCTATGAAAACTTAGTGCACTTCAAATCATATGTAGATATAAAACATACTGAACACACACATTTTTTATAGGAATGAAAATATACTGAAATTCAAATCATTTAATTGCAAACCAACTTAAACATGAACCTCCACAAACACAAAAAAGATATATGGTAAAAAATGAATTGTGCATGAATCAATATACAAACCAGTCAACAATGTTTTTTTTTATGCAAAGGTTAGCATTGAATATGTCAAAATGTACACAAGTTCACGTGAGATTAGGTGAGAGTTGAACTCGAGAGAAAATAAGCTCTCTGTGTGAAGAGGTGAGGTATTGTTTCAGAAAAATGTATACAACTGAAAACTCAACACAAGAAACATAAAGATAATAAAACTAAAATAAACGAAAATATTCGTGTGAAATGTTTATGTTATACACAACTTACAAGAAACAAATCATAACAACCGAGTATGATTTGAAATAAACTGTAAAAGACTTAAGGGTAAAGATTTGCAAAAAGGGCAGGAAATTAACTAGAATGTTAAAATAAACTGCAAAGAAAAACCTTCTAACCAATATTAAAACTGAAATTGTGATGGTATGTAACTGAAATTTGAACTTTCATTATTTTAATCAGTATAATGTCGTCAAATTAGTCTATATAGTTATATTTTTGGGGTGATATAATAGTACCAAATATTCAGCCAGTATTTGCTATATTTATTTTCATTCTTCTGATAACACTACAGGTAACAACAGTTTATAAACCTTACATTACAGGCTCTGCTAAACAAACTGGAATAGAATGATAACCAATACATGTTATAGTTTACTTACAAGTGGTTCTAGTTCTCGTTCACTCACAAGTCCAAATTCAGAGACAAAATAATAGAAATGTTTGTAGCATGTGTTCACATGGGCTTCCTAAAATAACATATATAACATCAACATAATACAGTGAAACACAGAACAAAGATAGTAGTATTATGAAAAACACAACAAGGTATTGTCACAGTAATGATAAATTGGCAAACAACAATTTATAAGCATAATGAAGTGGTTCACTTTTCAGGGGACATACTATATGTTTTGATAGAACATTGATCTGATTTCTTCAGGTTGTATGTTACCTCAAAATAAGCCACTTCATTATGGTTATAAATTGTTGTTTGCCAATGTGTTATTATACAATCATAATGTACTTCTATACTCAAGTATTTTTGCAGTAACATAAGATATATAATCAAGATATTACAACAAAAGAAAATACAGAATTACCACATATAACAGCATGTAGCAGCATCTACATAAATTTACTTTGACATCAAACTGCATTTTACAAATTAAGGTAAAAACGAAATAGTCTTTAATATCACATCTTGTTAGTAACATTTTTAAATGATATATTCTTATGCAATATAAACTCGTATTGCTTGGAATCTGTGTTACAAAGAGTCATTCTTGCAAATTAATGAATTATAATAAAAGATAACACCAGATAGTCTACCAAACTAACAATATTCACTTAAAGATAACACCAGACAGTATACCAAACTAACAATATTCACTTAAAGATAACACCAGATAGTCTACCAAACTAACAATATTCACTTAAAGATAACACCAGATAGTCTACCAAACTAACAATACTCACTTAAAGATAACACCAGATAGTCTACCAAACTAACAATATTCACTTAAAGATAACACCAGATAGTCTACTAAACTAACAATACTCACTTAAAGATAACACCAGATAGTCTACCAAACTAACAATATTCACTTAAAGATAACACCAGATAGTCTACTAAACTAACAATATTCAACTTAAAGATAACACCAGATAGTCTACTAAACTAACATAACTCACTTACA